GCTCAGGAGCAGAGGCAGAATGGGGAGCCCGGCCATGCCTTTGCTCCAGCCACAGCTGCATCCCCTGTGGGCTATATACACCAGGGACAACACAGGCACTGTCCAATGAGGCATGGAAATGAGAAAAAGTTTCCTCTTACAGCTAGACTCCTGAGCACATGCTGACCATACAGGTGGAGATACAACATGATCTACACCTGCACAGCTTATAGGAGACTCAGAAACCAATCATGATGCTACTCATCTCATTCTGAGAAGCATTTGCTGGGCACCACCCACTTCAAGGGCTGTGAAATAGGTAACATGACGAAGTAAAATGTGGGGTGTTTCCGTCCTTTGGATCCACTATAGGAAACACACTGAACCATCCTACAAGTTGTTCTGTTGCTGTGTAATGATGGAATTATAAACTAGTATTGTTGAGGCTTCTAGGAAAACCAAGACATCCCAACTAGATTAAGCAGAACCATGATTGGGAGTGTGAGGAAGGATTTACATAGGAGATAATATTTCCACTGGACCTTAATTCAAGAGTGCTATTTCATCAAATGGAGGTGAGAAAAAGGTATCCCAGAGAGGAATTAACTTGCCCACAAGCACAAGTGACACTTCATGACACATCTGAGGAACAGTGAAGAGATTCAAATGACATGCAGAAATCGATACAAAAGATGGCACCACAGATGCAGAACTAGGCAAAGTACTCAGTAAAGAATGCAGGAAGCTACACAGCCAAGGGCAGCAGGCTTCTAAGCAAGCCCTGGAGATATCTCAGTGAAGTGACCCTTAGATCAAGGTGCTGAAGGTAATTCTGCCATCACTGTGGAGAAGGGTTTGATGCCGGGAGGTGCTGGAGCAGGGGAACATCTAAAAGCCTGCTTCTGCAGAGAGATTGCAACATGCCAACGCATTAGCACCCTGTCCTAAGGACAATCTCCAAACCTGAAGATACTTGACCCAGGAGATGGTATGTGTCCCTTGCTTTTTCCTCACTGGGATTCATAATTGGGACTGACAGCTGACTGGGGCCACAGGGAAGGTGGGTAGAAGTCGACTATTTAGTTTGTTTAGATTTTTGTTGTGGTTCTTGTTGTTTTAAGACAGCGTCTCACTGTGTAGCCCTGTCTAGCCTGGAACTGTAAACCTCAAACTCACAGCTTGAGTGCTGGTATTAAAGGCATGTGCTGTCACACCCAGCTAGTGCTTGGGGTTTGTTTTGGTTGGTTTTGGTTTTATGGTTTTATGTTTTGGGGACTGTTTGTTTGTTTGTTTTTAATAAAAGAAAGTGTTTAATTGGGCTTCTAGCTCCAGAAGGTTTAGGGTCCATGATGGTGAACTAAAGATATCTGGGCAGGAACAGCTGAGAATTTACAACTCAAGCAATACAACCTGACTATGTAGAACAGGTTAGCCTCCAATTTGCAGCAACCCACCTGCCTCACCCTTCTTCCTGCTGGGATGATAGGCATATCTTCTAACCACATACTGTACATTTGCAAAAAGCCCTAGAGGATGTAGCAGGGATCAACAGAGCTTTAACCATCTGGGCTCAACTTCCTGCAATATTGTCCTGGCCATTTTAGGGGTCAACATTCATTTTACTTCCCAGCCTGTTCCAGGTACTGGGCTAGCACTGGGGTGCATAAGGCAAGGAGATAACCACAATGAGGGAGAAATGACTCCAGAGAGAGAGAGAGAGAGAGAGAGAGAGAGAGAGAGAGAGAGAGAGAGAAACAGAGAGACAGACAGAGACAGAGACAGAGAGAGAGACAGAGAGAGAGAGACAGAGAGAAATGACTCCAGAAGTCACTGCAAACATCCAGATGAGAAAAGCTCAATCTAGTGCAAAATCCTGCAGACAACACTGCTGAACATGGAGTTATATGTGCTCTCCTTGTCAGCCAATGAACCTCAGTGGTATGAATCATACTGGCCATGCCATCTGACAGTCTAGTCATTGGTCAGCTGGGGAGAACATTCCAAAGGGACATGCAAGGCAATCCTTGGAGCGAGGATCAAATGGTAGGCCTAGACATGAATTAATTCAATCACTACATTCTGCAAAAACACCTACTGGATGCATATTTTATGTTAGGGTACAAATGAACTATAATTTCTATTCACAACCTAAAATAACTTAAAATTTATATCTTGAGATGAATACTCATTGAAAACCACAAGCTACCTTTTTAGGTATGAATTTGTGCTCAGAGAAGTCTGGAGACAGTTGTGTCAACACAGTCCCTGACGGGTGTTGTGTTTTGTGCCTATAATCTCAGCACTCAGGAAGACAATGCAGGATGGTCGTGTGGTTCAAGGTTATCCTGGACTACATAATGAGACAAATGTCTCCAAATAAGTAAATAACAATAAAGAAATAAACAAATCTATAGTTCCTTCAACCCACTTAAGGGCAGAATTTCTGTTCTATACACAAAAAATGCACTGTATTGTATTCAACTGGGATAGACTTAATTAAATCCACTTACATGTCTAAAATAAAAAAGATCATGTCAAATGGAGGATATCATTTTTTATTTTAAATTTTTTTTATTTTTTGAGAGGGTTCCTCTGTGTAACAGCCCTAGGTATCCTGGAACTTGCTCTGTAGACCAGGCTGGCCTCAAACTCAGAGATCCACCTGCCTCTGCCTCCCAAGTGCTGGGATTAAAGGTGTGTGTCACCACCACCTGGCTATTTTAAACTTTTTATATTTACATCTTACATATATATCTTTGCACTTTAAAGTACTAGTAAAATTTGTTCAGGAGATGAATTTCAAAATCTAAATTAAATTCTATATCTAACAAATATTTTCAAATAATTAATTTTATTTCTCAAGAAGCACTTCTAAAAAGTAATCAAATATCTAAACCAATTAACCTATAGTGGAAAATTCTTCCAAAATAGAAAAATCACATCCTATGACATTAAAAATAGTGTGCTATCAGGAGCCAAGATATGGAACCAGCCTCACCAACACATGTATGGACAAGGAAAATGAGACACACATTCATAATGTAGTTTTATTTAGCTATAAAAAAATTGATGTGTCATTTCCAGGAAAATATATGAACCTGAAAATAATGCTAAGCAAAATAAGCCAAGCTTAGACAAAGATCATATTTTCTCATACACAGAACAAAAAGTCGTGTGTGTATATGTATGTGTGTATATGTGTGTGAGTGCATGTGTGTATGTGTTGTATACATGCATGTGTGTATGTATGCATGTGCTGTGTGCATGCCTGCATGTGTGCATGTGTGTGCACATATGTGTGTGTACATGTGTATATATTGTGTGCATGCATGAGTGTATGTGTATGTATGTGCATGATGCATGCATGGGCGTGTGTGTGTGTGTGTGTGTTCGAGTGTGTGGGTGATGTATGTCATGAAGCTAGAAGAGATCTAAAGGGAAAGAGATAATGTAAAAGGATAAATAACATATACTTTATCTTACATATGGAATCTAGATTTAACAGTATTTATTATGCACACATATGTGTATGGCAGGAGAACTACATGAGGGAAGAGAAGGAATGAGAGGGAAGAGGAGAGACAAGGAAGGGTAGCAGGAAACAAGCAAAGCTTAACACATGTATAAATAATGAGACATTCCTTTGTACACTAAAAAATTGATTTAAAAAACTTTTAAATGTGTAATATATTCAAATTACACAGGACATAATCTTGTCATTTGCAGTACTGTGGTAGACGTTTCACTATGTGTGTGTACATTTGTTAAGACAGGTTATCTAAGGTGGTAGAGCCATGGTACTGCGGCTACGTTTCACTATGTGTGTGTACATTTGTTAAGACAGGTTATCTAAGGTGGTAGAGCCATGGTACTGCGGCTAAGGGCACGTGCTGGTTCTGTCCCTGGCATCCACACAGTGCTTCACGACTCTCTGTAACTCTAGTTCCAGGGGACCTGATGCCCTTTTCAGACCTCTGAAGGCACTGCATGCATATCGTGTACTACACAGATGCAGACAAAACATCTATATAAAAAAGAAAAAAATCTAAAAAACAAAATGCGAATATGGATAAAGAAGTGTGTCTAGAAAAAGGCTGTCTTTCAGTTACATCAGAACTTTTCCTACTCTGAGCTTCCTCTAAATTTCAATCCTTTGTAAGCACTAATTCAAAGTGTCATAGTTCAAGTAACTTGAATTAAATGATCATTTGACCACCAGCAATTACAATGAAAACTTTACTGTTGAACTCTAGTTCCCCATGGTAAGTATAACCCATTCACAATATTCCTGTGTTCAGGAAAATACTAAATCCCAACTGTGTTCCATGCACTGTGATGTGCTCCTATGCAAGGAGAGCTGAGCGTCAGATGCCTGAGGGTAAAACTAACCACCTTCTTGTGGAGCAGAATTAGGGACTTGGTGTCACTCACAGCTATACCCCAGGCTCACACACAGTTCCCAACACCTGGCAGATTACAGCAAACACTCCATCAGGACCTTACTAGCTAGAGTAAGGATGGAAAGTGAGACTGGGGGAAAGAAATTCATAATGCTTGCAAATAATTATAATGCTACTGGATCCTAGCCACATACAGGACTCTCCAGCAATAATTTCTACCTCCATCTCTCCTACATAATGAAACTCTTATGTTATTCAGAGAAAGGGTTTAGACTATCACTGCATGGCCTATTTCTAGTTTTAATTACAATGCTTGGCAAAGCTTGGGGATCATTTCAATTCATTTCAAAAATAACTCCCCATTCAATACAAGAAGATGGATTTTTCACACTTGTGAATTTTTATTTACTTGATAATGAAGATGGCTTGGCATATAAATAAAGCATTTTCTTGGCAAATTTGATCTAGTGAAGATGCAGAATTGTAATGAAACAGCATGCCTTGGAAAGTAAAACTTCCCATTTGACTTCCAGACTCAGTTTCTCTTCTTAATTAACACAGCAAAAATAGCTCAAATCAAAGGTGGGACACGGAGTTAACAAAGTGTCTGCTGCTACTTACTGATCCATACAGCTCCCCCTTCTCGTTCATACCGAGGTAGAGTCCACTGTCCACGCCACGAATGCTGACCAGGCCAACTGCTATACTGATAAATTCCAGAATGCCTGTGAGATAAACAGCAGACAGAGGAGAGTTAGAGCCCAGAGTATGTCCCCAGAGTCATAGCATTCCCAGGGGCTCCAGAGAGGAAACTGGGCTTAGCTTCCAACTTAAAACACTTCATACAAGTTAAGACTTCTGCTCTAAAAAACTGACGCTCCAACTAAATTCTATCTTATCAACTGCAGACACTAAATTATCATGTGGGGGCATGACTTACATAATAACTAACATGGTTTAAAAACTCTTACAATTAATAACTACATAAACATTCAAAATGAAAAGTCTGATGAAAACAATGTACTGAGATAAGAATAAACTCGGAGGTAAAATGACATATTTTCATTTTATGTATGTGAAAGTAAATATTTATATATTGTTATCTTGAATTTATACTTACCATGCTCTGGGACTGAGAAAAAGAAATTGTGTGTGTGTGTGTGTGTGTGTAAGTATATATGTGAATATGTACATGCATATGTATATATACACAAATAATTTTTTAAGATTCTATTCAAAGAACAGTCTTATGCCTCTAAAAATAATAGTGTGGGGTGCTAATTAAAGCTTTCACTGGATAATACAAAGACTTATCTAACTCTCAATTGAGCTCCACTTGAAAAACTGAAGTACCAAACACACACACACACCCACACACACACACACACACACACCTCAAATACCTCTACTTAAAAGAGTATTGATTCTTTTTCTGTTATTGTCTAGACCTCAAAGAAATAGTTATACAACTAAAATAGCCTAATATTCTGGAAGGAAAAATACTGTTTTTTTAAAAAATTGCTCCCGATTAAAATAGGCACGGAATACTCTATCCCCAAAGTAAATCAATATAATGATCTTGTTCACTTCCTTCTTTCGCTCTGCTTACCTCACTAAAAATAACACCACCTAAGCTGGGCATCAGTCCAGAATTTTATGGCCACCCAACAGCAGCTCCAGTCTCCCTGAGTCTACTGTTGCTTTAAGATGCTCTTCCCACAAGACACACAGATGCTGCTAATCATCTCTGTACTTGGCCATGCTCCCACTTTAGCTATAAATTAAAGTACTACACTTTGTGTAGCTCTTGTATCAGTATATACCAAGTAATGAGCTCTTATTTTGAAGACATCTTCAATTATTGACAAACTGTACTTACATCTAAGAGTGTAGAAGAAGGAGGGGGGAAAGCCTATGGAAACAGTAGTGTGTGTGTGTGTGTGTGTGTGTGTGTGTGCAAATATACATGAAGAAAATGTGTGTGGCATATATGTGTGTGTATATAAATATATAAAGTGTGTGTGTGTGTGTGTGTGTGGGCACGCGCGCACGCACGCACCCAAACACGCAAACACATGCTAAAGTCAGTCTCCTGTGACTAATGAAAAAGCACTTATATGGTTTTTAAGCAATTAATTTTCCATTTCTTGCAGACTAGACTGGGCTGTCATCAAATGCAGCCCCTAAATCAATAAATCTAATGAAGTAAAGGATTAAGTCCGAAGGAAACTCAGTTTCAAGGGAATCTGCCCTCATAGACACAGTTTCACTCATTCTTGCAGACTTACAAAATGTTACAAAGAGCCTCATGTTTATGGCTTACAGAATATCTGCCCGCTTTTTAAAAACGTATTCTAATGTGAGAGCGTGAATGATAAAGAACAAAACTACAGGGTCCATCTGAACTACTAACCGGCAACTTTGATGGAACACCCACCTGACAGCCAGTGTGTGACTGGTTTTCCCTCCTTCACAGAGCAAATGAGAAGGTTAAAGGCAGTATCTCCTGGAGATTCACTGCATAGGAGGTATATTTCCCTTCTGATGTAGTCATTTCATTTCATGGTATTATTCCTAACTCTTATGACTCAAAATAATCAAAACTGGGACACTTTGTCATTATTACGGGCCACCTAGACAAGACTCTTCTTGGTACCAAAAAGTACACCCTACTGAAGGTCATAGAAACCCTGAAATCAGCATAAGGACTTACTTTCACTGTAAAATGAAAAACAGGAGACAGCTCATCCACATTGAGGTCTGTGCAGTTTAATTTACTAGATCAATAATGAAAGGGTTAACCATAAAACTAAAATCTGTTCGTGTCCTCTGAGAGGCCACGTGATGATCTATTTCCTCTCTACACATGAGACAGCTCTGAGAATGAAAAACCCACCAACAGTTCTACCTGGTCCAATAAGAATATGAGTTCACAAAACCACCTGACTGGCTGGTCTGAAAAAAAAAAAACAGGAATGACAGTAATGGCCACAACAGGGGTCATGTAACAGCCAGAATGCTGAAGCACAAGAGGCCTTCTCTTCTCCAGTCTGTAGAACAATCCTAGGCGCTGCAATGTCTTCAGCCCCAATGCATAATAGGACAACTGAAATTTCAGTCATCCATGCCAATCAGAACGTAAGGCCTGCTTTCTTCAGTATTCCACACACTGCACAGTTGAATCTTGCCTTTCATACCTTAACTTCTGAGACTATTGCTATATAACATGGGAATGAATATATTAATATATTTATCTTATTTTTTCTAGTTATTAGTAAAATGTCTAAAATCAATATACATTTTCTTATTCTATCAATGAACTATTATTGAGAGACTACATTAACCAAGTACCATACCACTTATTAAATATAAAAATATCACAGAAATATACAGCCTAGGTCCTGTCTCCTGCTTAATAGTGGTCCTTCGTTATCTATGGAGAGACATTCCTTCCATACCTGAAGCCACAGCACCCCAAACACTATTTATACTGTTTTTTTTATATTCATGACAAAATTTAATTTACAAATTAGGACCCCTAAGAGGTTAATAATGAACTAGAACTAGTATAGGATAGTGTAAATACAAAGTGTTTGAAACTTGAACTATTTCTGGAGAAGTCTACTTAACATTTCAGACACATTCAAAAGTGAAGCTAATGAGGGAGGAGGCTACTATAATAGGAAGGACAAATAAACAGAGAACTATGGTAACATTGTGGCACACATAGTGATGTGTAGGGAACAAGTGTATCCAAAGACCAGTGGTTTGTTCAGTTACAGAAAAGCAAGTCAGGGATGCAGCATGAGTTTGGGAGCTCTCCCAACAAGAAACAGGACCCAGTGACCCCAGGTGGAAATATCTCATCACCTCAAACCATCATGCATATCCTTAAGGGAAAGTACCTCAAAAAGAAGCCTAGATTTTTATGGCTTCTTTTTGAGGGTCACCCCCCCTCTTTTATGGGTCTCCCCCCATGGCCCAAAGGCAAGAAAAGCACCCAAATGTGTGAGCCACAGCCCTTCTCCCACACCCAGAAAACACCAATGTGGTACAGTCAGGGAGAGCCAGCAACGTAGTAGCCAGATTCCACCCTATGCAGACCAGGATCTTTATCATTCCTGGTACTACCTTGTCCGCGGTGAACTCCACAACCTCTACCAGATCAACCAAGTCCTCAGTGGGCCAGAGCTGGAGTCAAGCAAGTGCCACCAACTGTCTTCCCAGAGCACTCCTCACACTAATCTGTTTGCCTGTGCACAGCTGTGACCAACATGGACGGCACAGAAGATAGTGACAATCCAGGGTTGTCTACAGATCTACCTGTTCTCGTGGTCAAGGGAAGAAGAAAGGGGGGATAAAAAGGAGGAAAGAGGAAAAAGAGAATAATGTGTTGGCCTAAAACTGACTGGGGCCTATCTCTCCTAGCACACAGAACCTAGATAGCATTGGTTCAGAAAGGCCGCAGTGGGGAATGGTGACTAAGTGGCAAGTAGTGACATTTGTCTACCTTCTTCCACCACAGATAACCATTTCCATAAGGACCCACTCATGGCCTCTTGGAGGCTGATAAGGCCAAAGACAACTGGTCACATACTTCTGAATAGTCTCCCTCTTTGAAGTCTCACTTACCACTAGTTCTGTTCAGTTGTGTCAGTAACCCCAAGTTAGTCCACCCACCTAGAGTCCACTTTGCTGTTCCTCACCTCTAAAGCCAGACATAGGAAATGAGAGAGTTGGCAGACAGAAGCTGTTGCACCTTCAGATCAAACAACAAAAACAGATGAAACCAGTATTTGTCAGCTTCATTGAACACCATAATGAGATGATAAAACCCTCTTACCACACGATTTGGCTGCGGGACACAGAGAAATCAAACTAACCAGGAAACTTCCTCTCTGCTGGCTAGTTTTCATCATGCAGGATGAAAAGTTTCTGCATCCTGATGTAGCAATCCAAATCAGACCAAATCAAACTGAGTTAGAAAAAGCCAGTGTTTAATGGATATAACGCTCCCAGATGGCCATCCAGTACCCCCAGAGAGAAGACCAGAAAAACCATGTGTCTATTTTCTGGGAGGCAGTTTAAGTACCCTGTGGAAGTGGTCCTCAGCATCTCTGGGGGAACGGTTATCATTTGGCAGGCTTTCTGAGATGCAGCAAGGTTTGGAGAGAGACAGGGGAGGGGGCTTGGGTAGAACTTCCAGACTCTTTGGTTATATGGATACCAGAGGCTGGGGTGAAGCTTCCACCATAGCACAGACCACTGGAGAAGAGCTATCAATGGTGTTTACTCTGCATGCTACAATACAGACCTGCCAGGTGAGATGTGCCCATTGGTGATATAGTGGTATAACTATCACATGGGTAACCAACCACTTTCTGATTGGATTTGAGTCACGATCCGTAGGAGAGAATTCATACCTGGTACTGTAAACCTAGTCAAAAGCCTGTGGCTGGCAATCTCACAAGCCCTAGTATAGAATCTTCCACTGTGATTTTGCAAAACGATCATGCTGCCTTCTAAATATTTATCAAGCTGCCTTCTAAATATGTATGTTTATACTCAATGGTCTATGCTTCTCTCAACTTTGTTTTCTAACCAAAGCTTATTTTTGCAATGGGCAGCCATTAATGCAGAGTCATAATTAAAGTTCTTAGAATAAGTGACAATGTGTCCTCAGCCCTAACTGGGACATCTGTATCACCTCCACCTTCTCCAAGGCTCAGAGAGAACCTGGGAAGAAAGGTTAGAAAGAATGAAAGAGACAGAAAACAGGAAGGAGTATTGCGAAATACTGTCTTCTGGACACAGCATGGCTGTTACACTCATAAATTCTTAACAACTGTGACTACCTGCACAAGACTTGCACAAGATCAAGCCAGTCAACATTCCAGCATGGATGGGAAGAGGGCTAATGAGAGCCCACCCCTAGCTGAGGAGCTTTTGGGAGCTTCCAGCTACTAGTGGAGGAAGAGCCATTTTTCTTTAGGGGTGTGGCTACCGGTAGGTTGTCCATGCTACATTAGATAGCCCCACACAATGTGCATACATGGGTCACACTAACTGGACTCAGTGGGATAAGAAGAGGAAGAGGAAGCAGCAGCCAAGACGTTAGGGGACCTGTTGGAGGTATTCAGGGGCAAATGGAGGGGGGAAATAAGGGACAGATATGCTCAGGTTTCGTTGTATATATGCAATTCTCAAAAGACTATAATATGCAACTGCACAGAAGAGTAACCAGTGGTCCCAACTACTCCAGAAACTGAGGCAGAAGGACAGCTTGAGTCACAGAATTCCAGGCCAGCCTGGTGAGCCTGGAGGCTCTGCTGAGAAGAGGTGAGAGAGGAGAGGAAGGCAAGTGAAAAGGACAAAAGAAAAGAAGGGGAGGCGAGGGGTTAAAGACGTGGTCCAGACTTTTCCGAGAAACTTGACACGAGGTCTTCGAAAGTGAAAGGTTAAGCTAGACATGGTGATACTGGACTATAAGATCAGTAGTTCAAGGGCTAGCCTGTGCTTCTTAAGACTCTGTCTCAAAAGTGGGTGAAGGGGGTGGTTAAGTCCCTTCTCTTTCACAACAGCCACGTGGGGCTCCAGAGGGTCCTCATCACAGGGCCTGTACCAGCTGGAACAAAGTTGAGTTCCCTTAGGAAATGGCAGCAGAGTGGATATCCAAGTTCTCTGCTGCAGCAAGCCTAAAGGCAGCCCTTAAAGGGAAGGCTTTCCCCTGGAAGGTACTGGAAAGCAAGGCACAAAGAATTGAATTTTGGTTTTATTTTCTGCAAAAGCCTACAAATAAGTTTTAACTTCCATTTATTAATTTTTTAATCACATCATTATCTTTGTGCCACCATCTGATACAACTCCTTTAACAGAGCAGGCTCACCAGTAGGGGTATCCGCCTCGGGTTCTAATGACCTCTAGAGTCACCACCCCAGCATCAGGAGGTAGGCCTGCTTCAGCTTCCCAGGCCCAGCGTTCACTCTTTCGTTTGCCTACTTAATTTCTGCTCATTGTCTCACAAGACCAGAAAGCCCTTCCAAGGGAAAAACACACTCTTGCTTCCCAGCCCATCACTCAGAGACACGACTCCCAGGTCCCCTCCTCCCAGCTCCCACTACCCCCAAGGTAAAACAAAGGGCTCCTTAAGGTCCCACCTTCAACTCCCCGGTCCGGCTGCAGCCCCTGCGGGGCTGAGACTCCCTCACCCCCAAGTCCCCTTGCCATGGCCTTTCCCCCACCGAGCTTGCCAGCAGCTGCAATCACCTGCGGCGACTCGGGGGCGGCAGAAGGCTTTGGCCCAGCACGTTTCCTTCTGTTCTCTTCCAGGTAGAAAATGCACCTTCTATTTTAATCGAGGTGTAAACCCACCCCACCTACAGCTACTCAGAAACCCCGGGAGAAGACGAAGTCCCCTGGGCGGAGCCAAGGAGGCGCGGAGGCCTGGGCTGCAGAGAGGGGGTGGAAGGTGAAGCCGCGGTGGAGCCGACGCCAGGTGCGCCCCGCAGCCCCTCCGCCCCGCCCGGGCCCGCGCCGCCGGGTCCTAGCGCCGATGTGACACTCTGCGGGCGGGGCTGGGGAGGCAGGGCGCGGAGGCTCCCGGCACACGCACAGCGCTGCAGAGGTTGCTAATATTGGGACCTGCCGCAGCGGCAGCAGCGGGAGACCGCGGCACTGCTGTCACCCCCGGGGCCCGCTTCTCACTGCAACCGGATGAAAGACTTAAATAACCCTCCTTCCCCACCCCCACTGCGCACAACCGCCCACTCAGCTCCATCCAAACGAGGGTGAGTGGCACCGCCAAGAGCCAGGCGCGCCCTTCTCCCTCTACCCCTCACCCACCCACCCACTGCGCCGCAGACACCCGGCCGACCTGCTATACTCGCACCCGGGGTCCCCGGCAAGGTCCGGGTCTTCCGCTTCCCTCCTATCAATACCCTTTTACACACGCGCGCACGCGCGCGCCCACACACACACACACACACACACACACACACACACACACAGTGCGGAACCATAGAGTAGAGATGTCACTTCCTTGGCGACACCTTCTCCAACCTCTAGGATCGAGGCGGGGTAAGGAGATGAGGCTTTTTGTTTGATAGCCTTGGTACCTGCAGTCCTTGTCCGCTGACCCCTGAACGCGCGCGCTCCCTGGCCCTGCATCCTAGCACAGATATCTGCGGTCTCAAGTGTGCGTGGCAAACGTCCTATCTTAAAGGTGACTGCATTTTTAAAAAAGAAAGAAAGAACGCTGTGGGGGGAAGGTACGTGGAGGGGCCCGGAATACAAGAGCCGCCCAGTGACTGGGCCAGTTGTAGAGCGCCCAGGGTTGGGATCTGGAAATTCGCACAATGAAGGTGGCCCTGACTGGTCGCAGAGCCCCTGCAGCCGCGCGCTCCGAGTCCAGCCGGCCTTCTGCTACTGCGAGGCCAGCTCCAGCAGTTAACAATAGCATGCCACCCCCTGCACCGCCTGCGCAGCCCTTTGTCACCCCCACCCCCAACCTCTTCCCCTGCGGCTGTGGCCTCACCAGGCCAGGGGGCCCCCGACCCACCTCCCAGACCCGCACGACTTCTGAAAGAAGGGGGGAGGGACCCTGCGGGAGACCGCGAAGCTCTGTTCCGACCTCTAGTCTGTCCTCAGTCCCCTCCACCAACTCTCCGGCTGCGGTGCGCGCCTCCGACGGTTCCCATACCGCACACCACCACCCCGCTGCCTCGGGCGGCGGCTGTCAGAGCCACCAGACCCGCACTCACACACAAAGAGAAAGCTAAGGGACTGAACACGGGCAAAAAGGAAAAGTCGAACACTCTTCACGCAGCCAGAAGGGTGTCGGCCCCTGTCCTCCCTCCCCTAGACCCAAGCGGTCCCCGCAGCACCGAGGGGCGCACTGGAGCAGGGTGGAAGGGAGGTAGAACCCGAGCGCTCTTAGGACCGCGCGGAGCGAAAGCACCGCGGGGCCGGGGGTTGAGCCCGCACCTGCCAGCTCTGAGCGCGGGAGGACCCGACTCCCGCTGCCCCGAGCATCAGGCGGACTGCCCGGCGCCCTGGAACACTCAATCCCCGCCACCACCCGCCTCCTGCTGCCTGCCTTGCTCAAAATGCTGGGCTCGGTAGCAACCCTTAAGGTGACCAGCTAGACAAGCACTCCAGTAAAGTTTAGTCTTCCCTCCGCGACAGGCCAGCAGCGACGTTTACAAGTCTAGGGTGGTGAGAAGATAGGATTCAAAGGAAAAATAGTGGCGATGAACTATGCTTTCTGCTTTTAACCAACGAGGGGACACAAGTCAATTGGAGAAATTGACTAGGTTCAGCTTTTAACCAACGAGGGGACACAAGTCAATTGGAGAAATTGACTAGGTTCTGCTTTTAACCAACGAGGGGACACAAGTCAATTGGAGAAATTGACTAGGTTCAGTTTTGAGCCCAGCCTCAATAGTGAGCCAAAGGGAAAACCCTGGCCCTCGGGAATCTGAACTATACCCATCCAGGCCTGAACCCTCATCACCTTGGGACAGCATCCACAGCCCACAAAGCCAAGCACGTAGTTTAGAATGAGTCCAACATCTGGCATGAAAGCATGAGGAAGAAAAATCACCACAGGGCTTGGTTTTTACGACCTAGTCTAAGTGTCGTCAGGTGGGTTCACTCAGGAGTTAACTCCTTCCAACAGTCTGGTTGCCTAAACTGTCGATTTTTTTTAAGTGAGTAAAAAGGGAAACCTAGATTCCACACGCCCCGCCCCCTCCCCAGCCCCAGGCAGAACTGTGTTCGCTGACTTAGCACTGCGCCACTGAAGGTGCCCCGCCAGGCACGTGTGTGAAGGCATGAAAGTGGGCAGAGTCCCCACCTGAGTCTGCAGCCTTCGATGCTGAGTCACAAGTACTCTGCTCCGAGCATGAAATCTTCGGAATGGCCTTTCAAATGAGCCTGCAGCTTTGGCGAGGGCAGGCAAACACTCACACCAGAATCGGGAAACCCACACAAGGCTGCACACCGGAAATTACAAGGCAGAGGTAGAGAGAGCCTGTGCTGGACCGTCCAGCACCCCTAGTGAGATTTCGACCCCTTCCCAGGTCATTTTCTCCGGGCGCTCTTGCCCTGGACACTTCAGATCTAAAACCCGACTTTAGTGCTCCCCACAGAACAGCCAGCAATCTTCGCCTGCATGGCTTTCAGGCCAGCCCCAACCAAAAACCAGCACGCTTAATTTACAATTCAAGCAGAACAGTTATTAGAGGAAAAGGGAAGGGAAAAAACTTAATCGGAGCAAGACACCGACTACCTACTGCAAACTGGGTACATTTTAAAGTTCTTAGTGATTAAAGCTTTAAACTCGTGGAATAGGTCCATTAAAGAGAAACTTCTGAAGCCTAATCTTCTCGCGTATCTGACAAAAAAAAAACTTGGGATTGGGTTATATTCATAACTCACCCCCCCCAAATAAAAAGAAGAAAGGCCTTTCAGTATAGACTTGCACCAGCGCCAGCCACAGATCTGCAATTCCGGAGGCTTTTTCCCTCCCTGAGCTGGCAAGACACGCACAGAGACCGGGGGGTGGGCATGAATATGAGAATATATCCCTTCCAGCATCCCCGCCTAGCCACCGCCTTCCTAGTAGTTAACAATCTGAACAGGTCACCGCGTGGACATGGAAGGGTTAAAGGCATACCTACCGAATCGGCTGTGGTCTTTCCTGGTTCCCTGGATAGTACCGTTGGGGAAGATTTCTAAGTGAAATCCAGTCCTGCAGTACAGCTGCCTCCGCCTGAGAATCCCCTTTAAATGATCCAAGTCCGTGACTGCGGGTCCCCGGGGCAGCCCCCCTGCTTCAGACTGACCCAGGTGGTCACTTAGCAACACCGGACTGTCCACCGGCAACACCGGTACGTTCCCGAATGGTACCGCGTCCTGCACACCGAAATAGCTCCCAACTTCACCTAAGGGAGCCATCAGAGGACTCGGCTTCTAAGCACAAGAATAAACAATAATGATGGTATCAACCAGGAGACACTAGGCGAGGTATATCCAACTCCCCTCCCTTGCTGTAGTTGCAGAGAGAGAGGGAAAAAGAGGGTTCTTTTCTTCAATCCATCCAATGCATAAATAAAAGTAATCTGCTGTTTTCCTGGCACAGGTTCAAGGTCAAACCACTGATAGTCTAAGAAGCCACCACTTTATACTCACACACTGATACTGATCAACACAGCCATGCATCGCTACGTATGGAGCCTCGGCACTAGGGAGGCAGAAAGGTCTTCACCCCATCCGACCGTAATATGGGAAAAAAATCCGTAGTTTCTCCATTTGCTTAGAGATCAGAATGACCATAGCAACGTAAGTGCTTGGGCGATATTACAGGGATTTTTAAGATGCTCGGGCTACGTCAGAATTTACGGATCCTGACTCCAGAAAGGCATGCGCTGTTTTTACTCTCTAACCGACTCTGCAGACATCAGCATGAATCCTTCAAGGAGAAGAGAGGAAAAAAAATCTCACGTTGGCGGCGGCAAATCTCTCCTCCCAGTCCCTCCTCCAAAAAAAATAAGGATAATATAACAAAAAGAAGAAAAAAACTTTCGGCGTCCAAAGCTAGTATCCAGAACGCTGCAGTGGCTCTGCGGAGGTCCAGCGGCTTGCAAGGAGGCGAGCGGCAAGCTGCGGGCGAGGACCGCGTCCCGGAGCTCGCGTGCTGCCCGGGCTGCCGCGAACAGGTGTCGCCGCGCGGGCCGCGCAGCGCCGTGGCCGCGGAGCGCTCCTCCTGCGCAGCCCCCGCCGGCGCGCAGAGTGGCGCAGGCGGCGGCATTGGGCCGGGTTTAAGGTAGCGCGGCGGCCGCCCTGCTCCGCCCGGTCCTAGCGCCCGCCCTGACGTCCGAGCCGCTCTGCCGCAGGCCGGGCACAGGCGGGCTGAGCGCGGGACTTCTCCGGGCGGACGACCTACGAAACCCGGCTTTCGAGGCGAGAAAGCCGGAGACGCGGTGCCAGAGGAGGGAAGCAGCAGCCGGAAGATGTTCGGTCACATGAAATCTAGCTTGCTTAGAGACGCATGGGGCAGAAGGGAACTGGGAAGGCAGTTTTCGCATGAACTCTGTAACCTTGCGTCGCATTATAAAACGGACTTGGAGGGAAGGGTTGGTGGAGGGAGCTTGGTTGGACAGGGCAGTTTCTCTTTCATTCTTCGGGCAGACTCAGAGAAGCGCAAACTATATGCAAACTATATTGCAGGTAAGACAATTGGGTGTGGAGTCAGATTCTCTCTCACTCTGTCTCTCTCTGTCTGTCTGTCTCTCGCACACACACACACACACACACACACACACACACACTGGTGGACCCACACACTTGGGTTTGTTCGGGGCATTCAGACTCGCATATTCGGGTTGTTTAGGTCCTGCCTCCGCCTCCCAGGTTCCCGCGGCTAGGAGCAAAGGGCACCCGGGGCTCCTCTGTCCTTCAGTTCGACTCATGCCCCAGATCTGAGTGTGCGTCTTCTGGGAGAAGGTTCCACTGAGTTCCCTCTCGCCCCCAAACCAAGCAACTCAGGACGGTCTTTGGCAGCCTGAGCTCTCCTTTTCCTAGGAGAAGCGAAAGGCACGAGTTCCAGGGTTTCCCTCCGTTGCCCGAAGCTCTCTGCATAGCCTGAGAGCAGGGCGGCAGTCGCCGGCTGGGGCACCCGCACTGCTAGCTGCTCAGTGCTCGTCCGCTGCCGCCGGTGCACTTGGAAGCCGGAGCTCTGGTTCCAGGCCACGGCTTTTGCTCGTGGCCAGCGGCCTTCGAGCCCAGCCACAGGCAGGGACAAAGAAACACACTGCCCGGGGCGGCCAGGGGCAGGGCCCGCCGGTGGCGCTGTCCGCGCCCTGCCACCCACCAGCGCCCGGGTCTGCAAGCGCGGCGTCCCCAACACAAGCACTGCCCCCGCAGCCCGCCCAAAGGTCGGGTCTCTCTCCCTCTGCTCCTCTTTGTTCACATTGTCTTAGACTCTCGGGTCAAGATGGTGAAAGTTGCTAAGACTTAGGAGTAGCTCCTGATGGCGTGCGAGGGAGAAACAAAGTCCAAAGACCGGAGCCCTGCAGCAGGGAAGCAAATAAAAGGCTTTTTCTGTGAGAGAAGTCAGCGTTAGGCGGCGAAGCCCTGGGACTGGCTGGACCTACTGGGACCAGAGGGTTTCGCCCCAAAGATGAAGGAAGCAATGAATTTGCAGATTTCTCGAATGCTGGAGGTGCCCGTCTCAAGAGCACCTTCCCCAACACCCTCCCTCCCCTCCCCCCCCCCGGCGTAGAAGGCTTGCTCCGCAGGGTCCCACGGGAAAAAAAGAGGGGCCAAGTGACCCTTCCCTCTGTCCATTCCCACACCTCTTTGCCGCAGTCCGGGGTCATCCAGAGTCCCCGCACTGGCTTCGTGCGTCTGCCTTACAAGTTCCCACTGCAGAAGAAGCCTGCCGTGTGGTATTTACAGCAGTCTCATCCCGGGCGTTAGCTGACTGTAACGTTAATTGCAGATGGAAGAAGCTAGGAGGAAGTGACACTTCCCATAAACCATTAGAGTAGCTTGCGTTAAACACCCCAGGTTGCCAACAGCCTTGGGTTAAGCAGGGACACTGCTGGACCCCTTGGGTACAAAGTGCCAGGTTGATTAAAAATTAAAAAAAAAGAAAACCTGGTAGAAGAGCTAGAGAGAATGAAATGCAAGACGGTTCTGTGTAAAGGGATGAAGAACAGGGCTCAGACGTTTCCAAAGGACTGGGCTGGGGCCGTTTCCCACCAGCTGTCTCCAACGACGTTCTTTAGGTCTGAATTTAGCCTGTTAGCCTATGAGCAAAAACCATTTCCGCCTCTGGATCCCGAAGCATCCTGTCCCTTTAAAAGTGATGCAGCAGTGAGAAAGAGTAAAGTAGCTGAGCCAGCACTTTCGCAGGTAGAAGCAGCAGTCTGCTCTTCCTTCTCGCTCCTACTGCAGTCAGTTCAGTTTCCCTTTCAGCGGCGTCCCTGGCTGCCAGCCCCCCTTCTTGACTCCCAACCGCTTGCCCATCAGGTTTCACTGCTGCTTACATTTGGTCCTTGTCCTGCCTAGTAAGAGAAACAATGAGCCTGCTATCTCCCTGACCTTATCGCATTTTTCCAGGCACTCACCCCACTCCAGAGGCTAACCTCTTCAAGATTGCTTCGGAGTTACACCATAACTACAGACTGCTATACTCAGGTTCTAGAATGGTTTACCAGTACTCCGATCATTACAATAAGATGGTGGTGGCTTCACTTTCTAGGCACACATGGTATAACTAACTGGCTTAATAACACCTGCCTGGGTGACCGGCCTTAAGAATAAAAGAAAACACACATAAAGCAGGCACAGACAATAGATGTCCTCATGATACTCCTCATATAGCCCTGCATGCGTTTCTGCACATGAGGCATTCAGTAAATTCTAGTTAGTCCTAAACTCTCTAAGGCGCTCTCTCCTCCAACTGACATAGTCCCTCTTGTCTGTCCTTTTCCTCCCTTACCTGTATATTCTATCAGGTTTGGCATTTCTGCTATCACTGTCATGCATGGGTCCAGATTGGAGTAAAAGCAGTCAAGGGAAGCATGACAAGGAATGACCATCCCAAGAGCCCACAGATCTGTTATGTGGAATCCAGCATTGTACCTACTCTCACTGCAGCTCTGCACCCTGGCTTAGACACATGCATGTAAGCATGGCCTGTATGCTGTTAAGTTCTCCACACATTCGAAGGGACCGCTTGTTCTCTTCACCTGGTCTTGTTTCTTTCATTAATTTGCAAGTCCTTTATTTGCTTCGCACACGCATGCACACGTGTGCGCGTACACACACACACACACACACACACACAGTCAGCACGGAAGCCTTCCATTCCCTTCTAGTGACAGTGACTGCATAAGCAGGCTACACCTTTCACTCTCTATTTCCACCATTCTCCCATCCCCAACCTACAAGCCTGCAATCTACTCTGTGGGGTGAAAGGCAGGTGGTTTGGGTTCCCAGACTGACCTCATGGAACAGTTTGAACTTGGTAGGGCCGGAACACTGCAGCAAGCACTGCCTTGCTTCAGTGGGGCAGACACTCCAAGGGCTTCTGTGCTGTAGCCATTTAAGTCTCAAACCTGACTTTGTGAGTGAATACTATTTTGTCACTTTTTTTTTGGTTTTGTTTTTTTTTTTTTTGAGACAGGGTTTTTTTCTGTAAAACAGCCCTAGCTATTATAGAACTTGATTTGCAGACCAGGCTAGCCTCAAACTCACAAAGATCTACCTTCCTCTGCTTCCCAGGAGCTAGGATTAAACACATGTGCCACCATGCCCAGCTTTGCTTAATTTTTTCTAAGGAGGAGATTATGGTTTATGAAGATTAAGTAACACATCTCTCACCTCATTGCTAAAAATGGTAAAGCCAAGTTCAGACATCTCGGAGCCCATGGCACAATAATACTTTGTATTATAAGAGACATACCCTTACTGGGCATAATGGTGCATACCTATAATCCCAGCACTCAGGAGGCTGAGGCTACAGCATTGCAAAAGCCATCCTGTGCTATATCTCAAAAACAACCAAAAATAAACCTGGTGAGTATGTTTTAACAAAATAAATATGCATGTATAAATAATGAGTATATGCACTTAACAACCTGCTATTTTGAGTGTATGTAACACACTTAGACAAAATATAAAGAATCCAGTTGCAGACAGTGTGGTAACACTCACATTTAATCCCAGCATCCAGGTGGCAGAGGCAGGAGGATCTCTGTGGATTCCTGGCCATCCTGGCCTACAGAGAGAGTTCCAGGACAACCAGAGATATACAGAAAGACAAGGAGAAGGAGAAGGAGAAGGAGTTCCAACAGGAGGGAAAAGATAAGGTAGAGAAGCCCCCAGAAACAACTTTAAGAAAATAAAAATGCAGGAACCATTTGAAGAAATGTTTTTAAACCTCCATTTGGACACACAAAAAAAACTTGAGCCAATAAAAAGACATGTGGTATTCCTAAGTAGAAAAAAATCTCAATTTTGAAAAAATATAATCCTTCCTTGGTAAAAGTAAAACCTTACCATGATCACAACAAAAGTACCAACAAATTGTTTTATTAGCCACATTGATGCTAAAAATTTTTGACAAAAAAATGAGATGTTAACTTAAGTATTTCAAGTATTTCTAAATTACAGTAGATAAAATGCAGCATTATCATACAAATAACTGGATAGAGCAGTAGCAGTCTATAAATTTCTTAAAATCTGAGTACACATTAGGATGTAATATAAGACAAGTAATGGGGAAAATAAACTAGTTAGTAACTGGTCTAAAGAACTGAAGCGGCAACTGGGAGAAAGAGTTTTCCTTCACACCCGAAATGAGGTTAGAGCTCAAACAGAGAAAAGCTTAAGTGTAAGTTTAAACTGTAACAAGTGCTAAAGGAAACAATGGAGAAATTCCTTTACACTCTGAGTGGTAAAAGCCTTTCTAGTTTGGATTGCAGAATTCAAATGTCTGATAAAAAATGTTGAAAAACGTAACTACACACAAAACATAGCTACACAGAAGGAAACCAAATTCGGTAGTTAAAAGGTGAAGTAAAACAAACTGCATGTCAAGTTGAAGGCTAACTTTCCTGTCTATGAACAACCTGTAAATGGTGAAGTATGCAGCCTCTGCTGGGCACAATGGCACATGCCTAGAATCCCAGCACTCTGGAGGTAGAGGTAGGGGGATCAGGAGTTCAAGCCTGGACATAGCCAGTTCAAGACCAACTGGCCAGATGAGACCCTTTTTTAAAAGGTCAAACTAATAATAGTAGCAGCGATGATGGTGGTGGTGGTAACGTAACAATAGCGGTGATGGTCTGGTGTCTGGCCTGATATGTGAGTCTGGAAGTCATCACTCCCATTCACAGAGGAAAATGATGAACGGACTGAAAATCAGGAATTCATCTTAAATCCTCAGAGAATTGAGGTCATGAGACAAAGTGCTGGAGAGCCAGGCAGACATGAAGTCACTGCTTCCAAAGCAGAAGAGAGGAGAAGCAGCCTATACCTGGAGCCAAGGTAAGTATAGTTACCTCAAACTGTAATTCCCCAAGGCTCAGGGTGAATAAGCATGAGAGCTAAGAGGTCGGAGGGGCCCCAGTCTCAGAGGGCCCTCCCCCTCCCTTATTTCCAGACTCAGGTTCCCACTGTGAAGATCTGAAAAAGAACCCTTCCTTCTGGCCTGGGAGGAGAATACACTCATTTTCCTCACCCTGGGGAACCTGTTTTACCCCAGCCTACCTCAGCTGGGAAGGGAGACACCCAGCTCTAATATCCCCTGCCCTCAAATCCCCACATCAGGCTCATTAGCAGACAGGCCTTGCCATAGTGATATTGAACACATCCCTTCAGTACCTGTGATGGTTAGTTTTAATTATCGGTTTGACACAATCTAGAATAGATTGGCCAGCCTGGGAAGATTGTCTTGATTACATTAATCGATGTGGGAAACTCCAACCTAAAAGTGGGAGGCCATTCCCTGGGTTCCCATGGACCCCCAACTGTATAAAAAAGAAAAAGCAAGCTGAGCACTGTCAGGCATGCACCCCCTCTTACTGTCAGGCATGCACCCCCTCTTGGTTGTCCTGCTGTGAACTGGAGCTAAGAAAGCCTTTCTCTCCTAAGTAGCTTTTGTCAGAGTGTTCAAAGGCAGCAAGAGAAATGAAACTAGAACAGTGTTTTTCCACTTCATCCACGAGTGTTGGAGCAGAAACCCTGAATGATTTCAAGAGAATATGCATAACAACTTGAAGACATAAGAAGGAACCCACAGTCTGCACAGTGCACTTACTTCACTTAAACCCAGCAAATGCTGAGTAGTATTTGATAACAACTGTGGAGCCGTCTGTCTGAAAGTTTAGCAACTCATTAGAACAATAGATTTTTTTACCCTTCCCAGGGCTTCCTTCTCAAAGAAAATTCCTCATCCCTGTTTCCTCCATTCTCACTTTTCCCCAACTGAACATGAATCTCCTCTCAGGCCCCACTGACGTATTTAATAATATTTTCTTCATTTGTTTCCAACTCTGAATGTTGGTAACACTGTTAATAAAGTCCCAAGCTTAATGACATTTCAGCCTGAACCTGAAATGTGCCCTCTACACGGGGATGTGTTTCCCAGCTGGAAGGGCTGTTTCGGGGAGGCCATGAAATGTTGAAGAGGTAGGACGTGGGTAGGAGAAGGACAATAGCAGGGGCAGTCTTGAGAGGTGCCTATGTTATGTCTTGGCTTTCTGATATGTGGCTTTGTGACGAAGGAACCAAAACCTCACCCAGCCCCCTGCTTTAGCAGCCATGACAGGCTACAGAAAAGACCCAGCAGGACAAAGGCCCCTGACTCAGCTGAGTTTCCAGCCTTCCGATCTTGCTGGCACTGCCCTAGTCACTAGGAGGTCAGATACCCCCCATGTGGCAAGGAACCAATCAGAAGTTAGCTGGCAGGCTCTGGGTGTGCTTTAGGTAAAAGTGGCTTAGCAGTGATGTGCAGAGCATAGCAACAGCCCTGGGAGGGCCTATAGGCCATAACAACCAGTTGACCAATCAACACAGGGCAGGGCACCCAAACCCGGAAGTGAACCAATCCTGAGACTATTGCACACCCCTAGGCACTCCCCTTGCTCTGCCCAATAAATTCCCTGCCTCACACCACACACTGTGATGAACAAAGGGCCCCGAGTTAAAGACAGTTAACTCGTCAAACAATAAAAGACTCTTTGCTTTTGCATTGGAATGGGTCTCTTGTTGATTTGGGGGTTTAGAATTTGGGCACAACAGTGAACACATGCCCAGCCACAGCCCAGCGTCTGTATACTAAGAACTTACAAAGTCCTTGAAACTAGGAGGTATAAATTTATGGTAGAGGGCTTGCCCAGCATGCATGTGGCCGGCCCTCAGTTCCATCACCCGAATAATGACAAAAAGTCTTCCTTGTAGCTTTTCCCAATGTGTTGTGTAGTGTTGTCCTCATGGTCAGCCTACTATGCCATTTGCCAGTGCTGCCATGGTGTTCGAAGGACCTGCACTTTGTTCTCTATTGAATGTGTTCCATGCCCTGGGTGAGCTGGGGCACCTGAGTCAGCAGAGACTCCCTGACACCCAGTCATCTGAACATGATGTGCTCCGAGAGCTGGGAGGGCCCTTCTGAGTTCTCCCAGGGCCTGACATGTCTCTATGCTCCCCTAGTTTAAAGACACAAAAATAAATAGGAAATTACTCATCCGGCCAGATAACACAAGCTTTAGCACACTTGCACTCACTGGCCCCTAAGTTAGAGAAATGCATAAATGTGGATCCAAGATGAGACTGAAAGTTACAGTGGGATAACCACATTAGATTGTGACAAAGTCACAATACCTCGAGCGCCATTTTGTACTGGGTGGCTGCTTAGAGAAAGTATATAATCAAAATTAGCATTTAAAATTTTCATAGGACATATATTGTAGCAAAAAAAGAACACATTAATTCTATCAATTATGCTATTATGGAAACTCAATTCAACAACTATCCCTGCTTCTCGGTGTTGCAGAACTACTATACACTTTATCAAGGTGATCTGTTAAACAGATTATGCAGCTTTCTTTTGTTTGTTGCTTGGGTTGGGTTGGGTTTTTTTGACACAGAGTCTCACTATGCATCTCAGGCTAGCCTGGAATTCTTTCCTGAAACCTCTGTGTCCTGATTACTGGGAGGTATGAATTTCCAGACTGCACTACATCCCACTAAGAACATAGGACATCTTTATGAATTATATTCTAAAGAGCTTTTAAAATTTAACATTCCATTTGGCTGGAGGAAGGCAGTTACTACCTGTCCCACCTGGTCTTTATTATAGTCATCAGCACAACGTATGTGGTAGCCATGGAGAGAGATCTAGAAAGTGCCTATCCTCCAAACTCCCCTAATTTGACTATAATTTAAAGAAAGGAAAATAGGGTCAAAAGGAAAGAAATTGAGTCCATTCATGAGCTACCCAGACCTGGGAGGTATGTAGCAAGCCATTTACAGGTACTCAGTCAGGAATTATTGAATAGCATGGGCTCAAAGACAAGTGAGAAAACATGGCCATGCTCTGCATACTACACTGAAGCAGACAGATGTCACCAGGATATTACTATTTGCAGTGCACAGGAGCCACTAGAAGGCTAAGGAAATGGAGTAGGGTTTTAAAATGCCAACAGTGATGACCCTTCTCCACTCTTTTCCACAGTATCAAAGTCTGATCACACAGGATTTAAATGGACCTGTCATTTTATTCACTTTAGTGTGACATTGTTTGCTTCAGTGTGTTGACTACACAGTTAAAAGGCAATGAGACATTCTTGGTGCTTCTAAGTCTATCCAAATGTGAAGAAAAGTGTGCATATTGAATCATTTATGCCCTCAAAAGCTATTAGATCCAAGGGCCATGCCCATTATTACTTCTTAAATTTTCCCTAATGGTGGCTCAGCTGCATGAATGGATGTATCTTTCTAATTGGATTGGATGACTGGTGTCACACTTCTACTTATTCCAAGCACTAACTTCTGTGACTTTCAAAGGTTACAGTAGCCAATGGCCAAACCTAAGCCCCAAACTCTATGACCTTTTCCTCATCAAAAATTATTGTCATCTGAAATAAATGTAAAGACAAACAGCGGTGAAATGTCAATTGGGGTGTAGCCAAGGAGGAAAAAATAAAAAGACGTGCTTCACTGTGCTGAGTTGAAGCAAAACAATGACAAGAAAACAAGATGAGATACAATGGGCTTCCACGGCCCATAGATTTTTCACCAAGAAAGGAAAGATCCTGTAGCCAGGAATAGTGGAACACACCTGTAACTCTAACCCTTTTGTGGCTGAAGCAGAAGACCAGCTTAGGCTTTATAGTGAAATCAGGTCTCAAAAGAAAACAAACAACAACAAAAACAGAATGATTGAGGAAGAAGAGAAGAAAGAGGCAGAGCAGAGGAAGATAAAGGAGGGAATGGAGGTAAATAAATAAAAAGAGGACAGCAAACTAGCTAGATCATATTCTTCAGAGCCTCCCATCAGACATGGTGGGCTAGCTCTATAGGAGTGGAAACCAGGCCTAGGGTAGAGACATGATCAAAGCCTGAGCTCCATACCCAGTACTACAAGGATGGAAACAAATGGAAACAGTCCCCAAGCTATTTCTCCTCCTGTACAATAGGTTGTTTCCAGGATTTAAAAAATAAATACAATGTATAACCCCAATTTTTTCCAAAAATAAGCTTTGTGAAGATACATCGTATTAATACCAATACATTAATTTTACCAAAATAGTAAACTATTTTAATAGAAAAAGAAAAGGAATGACATTTATGGAGATGAAATAATAACAGGAAAGAAAATAAGCAATTTAAATACAGTACAAATAATTATACAAATTCCACTGAAGCCTGAGGTACAGTTCAGGAGACATCAAAATGTAGACACTAGGATCATGAAATGATTGATGAATTTGTTCCCTATCTCCTAGATTCTCAATAGGACAATAACGAATTTTCAGAAATTAAAAGGTGCCTTTTTCATAATACTTTACCCACTTCCTAGCAGAAAGATACTGTTTCATATCCTCTAGAGCTGTTTGTAATGATCACAAACAAAGATTTTATTCAACTCATCGTTTATGGAGAGCCATGTGCCAGCCTCCAAAAGGAAAACAAATGAGAGGGTCCTGCCCTCATTATGTCCTGTGACAATAACAATGATGGACACGCTCCCATTGAAAGCCCCTTTGAATATTTAGGGTGACAGTATCAGGACTTCTACCAGGGTAGCAGGGATAGGGGGCAAGGGAGGGGCAGGTGGGAGAGATCTGCTGAAGGAAGGCCTGGCAAGGTAAATCTGATATTCATAGGGTCAGCCTGCGGGTTGGCTACTAGAGACGGAAGCCTGTCCTGCCGTCCACAGGTGGAAGTTCTCCTTCCTCAGAAAATCCCCCACTCTTGTTTCAATGCAGACTGTCCCCATTTATCAAGTAAAGGCTTGCTCCTCAGCTGGTGACACTACTACAGGTGATGAAAGTTGTTGTTTATTGCTTTTCTATTGCCTTTGTAAAATACCATGACCAAGACAGCTCATAACCAGGGAGTCATAGAAAAAAGAGAGTCTATTTTCAGTGTAAGTGTCCCTCACAGAAGGAAAGCATGGCAGCAAGCCAGGAACAGAGCAACCAAAGCAGGGTTCTGGGAGCTCACAGCTCCGCCAAGGGTGGTAACAGAAAGAACTGAAAGTTGTCCTCGGGTTTTAACTCTCAAAGCCCACCCCCAGTGACTTAACTCCTCCAGCAAGGCCACAGGGCCTAAGCCACCCACAAACAGCGCCACAAACTGGAGACCATGTTCAAAGTATTTGAGCCTGTGGGGGACATTCTTACTCAAAACACCACAGAAGTCTGGTCGGAAGAAGTGAGTCACTGAAGGCATGCCCTTGAAAGGGAATAGCGGCTACCAGGATTCCAGCCCACCCTTCCCCTGGCCCTGAGATAACAAGCTTTGTTTGACTGCATGCTCTCTGCTGCTATGTTCTGCTTACCATAGGCTCAGAAACAAGTTAACCCAATGACTATGAACAGAAAACTCTGAAGTCATAAGCCAAACATAAATATTTCTTACTTGAAGCTGTTTATCTTAGGTATTTTGTGTCCATGAAGGAAAGCTAAGCAGAATATTTTTTTCAACTGAGTGGATATGCCCAAAAGATTATCTAGAACAATGATTCGCAACCTGTAGATGGCAACAACCCAAGGGTTGCCTAAGACCAACAGAAAAACACAGATATTTATATTACCACTCATAACAGGAGCAAAATTATAGTCTAAGCAGCAATGAAAATAATGTTATGGTTGGAGGTCACCACAACATGAGGAACTGTATTAAAGAGTCAAAGCATTAGGAACTTTGGGAACCACTGACCCAGGATAATCTACCCTACTAAAAGCCAATTGGTTATCCATGCTGATCGCACCCACCTAAGCATGAGTTTGATTGAATCACTGGGGCTGTCATTTTGCTGGAAGACACATCAGATAGATCCTCATAGTCACTCAAGGTCTCATCAATCCTATTTTCTGGCTTATCTAGAGTCAGAAATGGTAGCATAAACCTTCAAGTCTAGTACTCAGGAGTCTGAGGCAAGTGTATGTCGAACTGGGGGTCAGCCAGTGTTACATAGCAAGACTCAAAAGGTCATAAAACGTCAATGAAAGCCACTGATAGCTCACCTCATTTCTGACCCCACTGAATACAGTCCTCTCAGGAAATATGCCACACTTACCCACCCTTTTCTTCCTTCCTAAGGTCAGCCTGACACATGCTCTGTGGTTAAAAAACAACAACAACAACAAAAAAAACCACAACAAAAACCTCTGTTGGCAGAGAACCCCTTAAAGAGGACAGCAGTCCTTATCTAAGCAGGCTTTTGCTTTAATCCTGGCACTAGAAAGATAGATTCCATGATATAGAGAGGCTGGAAAAGACTACAATGGAGACAAACTTTGTATCCTGTTGACTGTTACCTCAAAAGGGAGGGGGAAAGTATGGAGAGTGACCTTGATTTTCACACTGTGGATTCCAAATGCATTGTGATTGACTCCCTTTGTCAACCCTTGTTTTCAGTGATCCATTTCTTGTTTAAAGTTATTTTTATCTACAACCCCTCCTAATTTACATAACTGACCTCATTTGTGCTGTAAGCTGTTTACCAGTGTTCTTAACCAGGGTTATTTTACCTTTGAGGGAGTACAACCACTGTCTAAAAAAGGCACATATGTCACCAGAACTGGGGGCATCATGAGGCCAGAGGCCAGGGGTGACAACAAACATCTCTCTAAAATGTCTGTAGTGCTAATCCTGAGGCACTCTGATGAAGATCGTGCTACTGTGACATCTGTCACAAATTTTTAAACTACTTTCTAAAAATCTAGACCTATGAAGGAAATAATAAAAAAGAAAGGCTGGAAATATAATGAACATCAGGGGATTTTTACCTATTACTCACTGACTTTTTTTACATGAATAGAATCAATAGGATATATCTAATTTTTATAAGATATATATGCAAAGTAAGATATATTATATATATATGCAAAACCATAAGGAGAGAGAGATTTACTACAAGGAACAGGCCTACAATCACAGAAGTTGATAAATCAAAAATGTATAGATCAGGGTCCCATTTCAAGGCTTAGGCAAGAAGCAATTTATAGAGCCAGAGAGAGTCTGACTGAGTTCCACTCCAAAGGTCACCAGGCAGGAAAATTTGCTCCCAAATCAGGTCAGTCTTTTATTACCATCTTTAAAGTAAAGGACCCATGGTAGAAAGTCATTAGGAAAGACAATGGTGGGGTCCTGTAAGACAGGCTTTCACTCTCTTCAACTGATTGGCTAAAACACACTCACATTCAAGAAAGCAATCTGTTGTTCTCAATCTGTAGTTTTAAATGTTAATTTCATCTAAAACATTCTCTTAGAAATACCCAGAGTAATATTTGACCAAATATCTGGGCACCTCACGGGAACAGTCAAGTTGAACATAAAATTAAGCACCAGAAACATGAGGACAGTAGGAAATAGCAGAAAGATCAGGAGTTTATGTTTAATCCAGGAACAGCGGCAAATGCCCATAATCCCAGCACTTGAGAGACAAGAGTTCAAGGCCTGCCTGAGCTACATAGCAAGTGCCAGGTCAACCAGGGCTGTGTAGCATGACCCTGTCTCAGTTCTTTTAAATGTTTAATAACATTTTACATGTCTAATGCACACTAACATATCACTATTTTATCATGGAAGGTCAGTGAGTGCTACAGGCAGGTTTGTAGCCAAGGCTCTGGAATCACTTGCATGAATTCTTTCAGAACCTTGAACTGTAACACACCTCACATCAGAACGCAGAACCACTTCGGCTCTCGGACGCTTCCTTGGCAGATCCATGAAGCCAAAGCAAGACCGTAACTAAAGACCATAAGAATGAAAACTTAGGCAGGACTGGGGAATGGAGCTCGGTGGCAGAATATTTATTTGCCTAACATGCATGAGTCCATGGATTTGAGCTCCATCACTAGGGAGGAAACCAACTTGTGAAATTCACCATTGCAAACTATATGTCCTCTGGGAAAAGTGTGACAATGATCTATATTTTTTCTGAAATTATTGAAGAAACATTCATTTTATTTAGACACTCAAAATACCCAGCAATTAAACAGCAAACTAGGATTTCACATTGAGCACTAGAAGGAATGGAGAAAGTCCAAACGTATGTTAGTAAAATGATGTTCCACTTCTGCTGTGTATATTGAAAGTCAACAGTGCTTGGAAAAGACTGATCAATTGACATTCTCATTGTCACTGTCAAATGCAACCCTGGGAAGAAGGATTGGTTCTAGCTGAACTTCAGGATTATACATAATAATACAGCTACGTGGGATTGCATCTAAGAGTTATTGCTAAAAGTTCCTTCCCTTTTGGTTAAAAATGCTAATCCAGGGGTAGAAAGATAGCTTAGCAGTTAAGAGCACTGGATGCTCCTTCAGAGAGCCCAGGTTCAATTCCCAGCACCCACATGGCAGCTAATAACTGCCTGTAACTCCAAAATCTGACACCCTCACACATACACATATGGGAGGCAAAACACCAATGTACATAAAATAAAAAATAAATGAATTTTTTTAAAATGCTAACCCAGCTGTCCCATTTAAGGCTAAGTACTTCACAGTCTCTTAGTCTCTGTTCTCTGGTCATTTGTGAATCTCTGAATTATTCTCCATTTACTACAAAAAGAGCTTCTCTGATGAGAGTTGAGACTGGTACTAATCTATGAGTATAAAGATAAGCATCTAGAGGGCAGCTTGATAACATGTCTGATTAGAAAATAATAGTAGGTTTTCCTCTAGGGCCTGTTACTATCCATCCATGCCCTCTTGACCAGGTTAACAGTACTGGACATGAGTTCTGCCTTATAGAGCAGACCTTAATTCCAATCAGAGTGGCAGGTTACCCTTTCCACCCATTGAGGGTAACTATTCATTTCCTTAACTGTTTCCTCCCAAGGTGCAGGGATTATCTCAGGAGAGAACAAAAACAAAATGTAAGCGCCGGATTACAGAGGACTTTGAAAAACAGTGTGTTCCAGATACGACAGTGTCATTGCACATGAACTCACTCCACTGCGGTTGACTGCACAAGACCTGCACATGATCAAGCCAGCAAAAGTGTCAGCACAAATGGGGAAAGATGCATGAAGTGCCATCCATCTCTGATGAGCTATTGGAAGTTGATGTCTACGAGTGGAAGGGAAATCTATTTTTCTTCAGGGATGCATCCCCTGACAGGTTGCCCAAGTTCCAGTGAATGGCCTTACACCCTTAAACATGCTGGAAGTGCTAAAAAGACTCAGTGTCTCGATGAAAAAGTGCAATGAGCTGGGAAGGAGAAATGGTGGGAGAGTTGGAAGAGAAGGAGTAGAGGCTGGGTTTGATCAAAACACGTGTATGAGATTCTCAACCAATAAATTAAAATGCAGGATACTGACCTAGACTCAAACTGTTGGCTTGCTTTATTTAAACAGTCTCAAAGTAAACAGTAAAAAATAATAGTATGATACATGTAAAGTATGGTTAATAAAAAAATAATATGGTTACAATTTCAGAGGCAAGATTTCCATTACTATTTTCTCTGATTTAAAATAAAGTTTGGATCAAACAAAGTCTTACTAATGTTATTCTTCAAGGTAATCATTGAGCAAAACTATGTAGTGATAGTTTTAATTTGATCAATGTCTAGGAGAAAATTTTCAGAATTTGGTTATGCATTTACAATCTATCTGCTAATGGTACATACATTCTTAAAAGCTATTACATTGGAGCTTAGCTCTCTGATATTAATGACATTTTGTCATTATATATTTTATATATATCAATCATATATATAATTTCATGCACACACATAAATATGTAATATATGTATATTATACCACATGTGATGTGTGACCTGCTCTGAATTCTAAAGAAACACTGAATATTTTCAGGATCTGAGCTTAGATTAAGAAATTGTTCCTGCTCTAGAGACTTAGACCAGTACAAACTCCAACAGAGACACTGGCAAGGCTAGATGCCACTACATCCGGGTTCAATTTCCAGCACCTACATGGTGGCTAACAACCATCTGCAACTTCAGTTCTGGGGAACCCAACACCCTCTTCTGACCTCTGTGGGTACCAGGTACACACATGGTGCATAGACATATATGCAGACAAAAATATCATACACATAATATTAAGATAAACAAGAATATCAAAAAAATTAAAATACACATTCCCAAGAGCAATGGGGTGACTCCAGTTCAGACTAACTTGTATAGTTTATAAAGAACTAGAAGAGTGTGAAGGTCCCTGACACAAATTATTTATGAGGCAACATTCGCACTAAGTATGTCATTGTTTCACTGTCTGATCAGGGTTTATCTTCTCTTCTTAACCCAAGGGTTTTTAAATATTGTTGGGCTTGAGTTACATGGTAACCAGACCCCATTCACAAAGATGCTGTTTAGACTGGTTCAGGGTTAACCTACCTTCCCAGGGGACCACTGGTTTAAGTCAGCTCTAGGTGTCCTCCTGTCCACTCTACTACGTCACCACCACCTTTGGAACCCATGGCCAGAATTCCAACTCCAGAGGACAATGAGGTCATAGAGATTAAGAACTTTAATGCTAAGCAGAAGGAAGTCCTCTGAACTAAAGTCTCTTTATCCTGGACTAGATCTCAGAGAAGCTCTTTGAAAAAACTGTCCCTTATTCCCTATGGTAGCTTGAATAAAAATGGCCCCCATGGGCCCATAGGGAGTGGCACATTTAGGAGGTATGACCTTGTTGGAGTGGGTGTGGCTTTGTTGGAGGAGGTGTGTCAACAGGGGGTGGGTTTTGAGGTCTCAGAAGCTCAAGTTTGGCAAGTATATCACTACCAATTCCTACAGCCTGAGGATCCAGATATAGAACTCCCAGCTACCTCTCCAGCACCATATCTGCCTACATGCTGCCATGTTTCCTAACATAGCAATAATGAAGTAACCCTCTGAACTGTAAGCCAGCCCAATTAAATGTTTTCCTTTATAAGAGTTGTTGTGGTCATAACATCTATTCACAGCAATAGAATCCCTCACTTAGATGCTCCCCCAATGAATAATACAAGCTGAATGCAATGAAGGGCTTTCAGTCACAGAACATGTGGTTTTCCCACTAAGGAGGGGCTGGCTGACTCATGAGAAATCCTTTGCTCTAGTAAGCCAGCCCCACATAAACAGAAAAATTCATAAGTACTAAATATTTAATAAATGTACTTGTTACTTTTCTTTAGATGTGACAAAATGCCTTCAAGGAAGGGTTTTGTTTGGGCTGGCTGTTTAGAGGTGAATGTAGTCCATCGTGGGAGGGAAGACATGAGACAGAAGTGTAAGGTGGCTGATCACATTGTAGCTACAGTCAAGAAGCAGAAAGTGGACAGGAAGGAGCCCTGGGCTGTAGGAAACAAATGTTTAAACACGTGAGTCTATAGAGGACATTTCACCCTCAAACCACAGCACTCCACCCCTGGTCCCCATAAGGTCACAGCCCCCTTATAATGCCAAATGTATCCATTCCAACTTCAAAAGTGCTCATGGATTTTATCAATTCCAACCCTGTTTAGAAATCCAAAGTCTTTTCTTAAGATCAGGACAATATCTCAATCATGAGTCCCTGATAAAGTAAAAATAAACAAAGCAAACACCCTATAAGCTTATAGTATTCAGTGCTGCAGAGTAAACATTTCTATTCCAAAAGGGAAAAATGGAGGCATAGCAAGGAACTATTAGGCCAAAGCAAGACAAGAACTCAGCAGGGCAAATACCTGTTGCAGTTGTTTTCTTTTGTCCTTCCAAGTCCCACCACCCTCTTTTCAGCCCCCCCAAAACCACACCAATGCTATACTAATTATTAAACTGCTGGCCAATGGCTAGCTCTGTCTTAATTATTAACCCATAACTACTTATCTATGTATTTCTACACAGCCTTATCTTACCAGAGAATGCCTGGTGCATCGCATCGTATCCTCCTGGTCTCTACATGGCAATCCTTCCAGCACTTCTCTGCCTACCTTTCCCAGAATTCTCCTTGTCTCCTAACCCTGCCTATCTTCGTGCCTCTATCAGCCAAACAGCAATTTATTCATCAACCGATAAGAGAAACATATATACAGAAGGACATCACCCATCAAATACCAACTCCTATAGCTATGTGTTCAGGATCCGAAACAGGTGACGGAACCGTCTGGGCTCCACAGCCTTGAATGGTACCACTCTGCTTTTTTCCAGTTGCAACATCAATGGACTTCCTCTTGAGATAGCTCTACTCTGCAATCTGCAGCTTTCTTCAGTAAATGCCCAGTGGTCCAGGCATCGCCAACATTCCAGGGCCTACATTACAACTTAAGCTTCACCTTCCCATCTTCATGCAATGACCTGTCAAAGCCCTCTTTCAGAAAACCCAGCCTTGCCACATATTGCCTGTCCTCCACAGCTCTCTACAACCTTGGTGCAAACCTCCATGATCCATGCAAACCGCCATGATCCATTCACTCTTGCATCTTTCATGACTGAAAAACCAGTACCCCGTATTGAAAAGTTCTCCTGACTGCTTCAGATGTCACCTGAGCCCTGTGGAACAGCTGCAAGAGGCCCTGTGTGCTTTTGAGTTCAATTCTAGGAAAGTATTTCTCTATGTGTTTTTTTTTTTCAAAGAGCATCTATCCCCCTTTAGCAGCATTCTCAGTTCAGGCTCTCTTTCCTTCCAGTGAATATGCATTTTCACAAGCAGAATTTTTTCAAGGGTGGGGCCTTACCCTCAAAGAACCTTTCCCATTGCTTCAATCAGATCAAGTTGTTTATTTTTAAAAGTGGTAGTCTGTAACAATTGCAGGTCTTTTAAACATGTTCATGTTTCTTTCTTCACCATATTTTCCATATATTTCTGCTCTAGTTGTTAGTATTTATCATTGGATAAGAGCAAAAAACAATAACTATGCCATAGGATTAATACTATCCTATACTGAAATCCCCTTTGCCAAACAAATTAATCTATTACTTTTAGTTTGTCTTGAAACAAGTTCTCAGGACACAGGCAGAATGAAATTTAGGTCAGAAAACAACATAAATAGCTTCCAATCCATTTCCCAAAAGAGCTCCTGACCCTTTCTGAAACTACTGCCCATGTTTTGCTGAGCATTATCGTCTTCCAAACTCCCACCAGAATGACCCTGTAGGCTCTAGTGATGTCATTTTAGTTCTCAAGCTTGCAGCCCCAAACTATTCTGCACTCCTCTGCCGAAAGGAGTCAAAGGGCCATGAACCACATGGCCAGACTCATCACAGCCACAACCACACTCCTCAGGGTTACTTGACTGTGTTACTTTTCTTTTGCTGTGACCAAATGCCTGCCAAGAAGCAACACAAAGGCGGAGAGTCTATTTCCATTCTCACCTTTGAGGGGCAATGGGTCATCATTGGAAGAAAAGGCCTAGAAACAGATGGCAGGAGTGTACAACTGGTCCTCTTAACCTCATCACACCTTGGTAGAACAGGAAGCAGGGAGCGGGCAGGAAGTGGGCCACTCTGTACAACCTTAATGCCTGTTTGCAGTGACCCACTTCCTCCATCATGGCTCCACCTCCTAAAGGTTCCACAACCTTCCAAACCAGTACAAATGGCTGGAACTCAAGTGTTCAAACGCATGAGCCTATGCAGTACATTTAATATTTAAACCACATGAATGTTTGAGATGCTCTTTTCTTTCTTTATATTTACCATTTTACCCTTGGCTACTTGAACCAGAGCAGTTTTTATAATGGAAAGGCACTACTCTTTTTTTTTAATTAACGCACACACACACAATATTTTTTGAAAAGCAATGCAAGCTTATTGTACAACACCCCAAAATCAGAAGTAAGAGCTGCATTTTTTAAAAAAATCAGCACTCCATCCCAGAGACTCTTCTCTGTCCAAGATGCCAGACTTCACTCTTTGTGCATATAGCACAAATGAACCATACTTTCTCAATTTTCTCCTCAATTACTAACTACTTTTCACTGTTCTAAACAATGCCAGGGTGAACACCCTTCCACTGAGCACAGTCCCTCCCCTTAGTCAGTACCCTTTGCACCACTGTAAGTAGCAGAGCTGAAAGGTCAGAAGGGGGGTTTGTCATACTTTTCATAGAGCCGTGGCTTCCACCATGTGTGTTAGTTACTGTCCTGGCTGTTGACTTGGTGACCAAAGACCTAGAGAACCAACTTAGCAAAGGAAGGATTTGCTTGGGTTCACAGTCTGAGGGTGTGGTCCATCATGGCAGGGAAGGCATGATAACAGGCAGCTGGTTACATTGAGAACACAATCAGGAATGTGATGAATACCGTTGCTCAGGTCACGTTCTCCTCAATAAGCATTCTGGGACCCGTACTATAGAACGGTGATGCTCACAGTCAAGGAAGGTCTTGCCTGCAACTGGACCT